GACTGCAGCCTATAAGAGACTGTAAGCCGGCTGCTCCCAAATTTCTGATGCACAAAAACTGTGAGAGACAGTAGTGCTTATTCGTGTGGGCTACCACGTGTCGGTGTAATTTGTAACACAACTAATACACAACTAATGTAGACAAATAAGGCAGGGAATCTGTCACAGGCCTTCTCTTCCCTTCTGTCTGCCACGACTCTACACAGGTCCCTTTTCCTTTACCTTTTAAAGTTTTTTTCCTTACCAGAGCTCCCCAAATCCAACCTATAGAGGGGACGATGCTCAGAATTTTTGTACTTTACTATGCAGAGTAATTTAAGTATCTTAGTCTAAACCTCTCTCATTTTGGCTAAGCCCAGGGACCCTGCTTTCTCTGACCAAACATACTAACTGAGGTCTAAAACCTAGATGTTCTGCTTTCCTACCAGGCCAACTGGTAGCAGGTCCACTCGCACAGCTGCCAGCTTATGAAACAATTACTCCTGCCCTAACAGAAGTATACATGAGCAAAGTACTGCAAGGGCAAAGAAGGAGAAGCGCCGAAGCTGCCTGGGGGCCCTCACAGAAGAGGTGCCTCTGAGCTGAGTCATGAAGCATAAGCAGGAGTTCATCTGGTAGATCAGTGAAAAGTCGTCTATGCAGAAATAACAGCAAGTACGAAGGCTCAGAGGTGAGGAGAGGCGTAATTTTGAGAACTGCAAATGGCAGGGGCGTGGTAAGAATACCTGTTGGGGTGCTTGGAAGGTATTGGGGGCTAGGTTTATCAGTTAGAAGACCACAAGCAGCAATTTGATGAATCAAGTGTCTTAAAAATAAGAACGATAATGAATTGAGTGTCTCAGATAGTAAGTGCATAGGTGGGGCTGCTCCCATGTTGGTTAACTTAGCAGCTTCACGATGTTCTCAAGGACCCAGGTTCCTCCTGTATTTCTCCTGTTATTCCCGGGCTGGTCCCCCCACCATAGTTGTCAGAGGCTGTCGCAGCTCCAGGCATCGTATCTTTAAAATTACTTCTCAAGGAAGGAAAGGGGTCTTCTGTTCTCTCTCATATGTAAAAGTTTTATTGGCTTACACTCTTTTTAGGATGGAGAAATCCCTTCCCAGAATGTCTTCTCTCCTCCTCTCATTCATCCCAACAGCTGACTTCCCTTCAGTATCATTGCCTAGAATTGCATCCTATGTCCAGGCTTAATATTTGGTGAGGGAATGGCCACCATGGTTGACTCGGATCAACCAATGGTAGTTTGGGGGTGAGATTGGAGCCTAGCACTCTAAACATGGCCAAGTGTAAGAGTGTAGTAACTCAAGGGAAACTGGGATTATGTTAACAAGGTGGAAGAGAGATCGTTGGCTTTTTGGGTTAGCATTCAGCAGAATCTGCCATGCCACACCAAGGAATTTGGACTATATCCCACTGGGATGGAGAACCACAGAAAGGTTTTAAAACAGGAAGCTGTATAATTACATTTCACTAGTGTCATCAGAATGGAGGGGTACTTAGGAGGGGCAGGGGTCTGGAGCAGGGCCGAAAGTTAGAAGGCTTTATCAGAAGATATTAGGGAGGATTTTAGAAACTTGAAACTAAGAGTCACTAAGAGTCACTAAGAACAACCTAGTGACTAATTGGATAGAATGGTGAAAGGAAATGGAAGGAAGAGGTTCTAGAATGACTTGCAGATTTCTGCTCAAGTGAATCACAGGGTATTAATCAAAGTTGGTAATGTGTGTAGAGGAGGTTTGGGTAGATAAGGGGAAACTAAAGAGAAAATGAGGTTGGTCTTGGACAATGAGGTGCCTTTAAGACACGAGAAGAGAGATGAGTAAATTTGCAAGGGAGAGTGAAGACCATATGACTTAAACTCCTTCAGAGGTAAGGGCTTGATGGAGTATGGAAAGAAGGAAAATTAATGATAGAAATAAAGCAATGCAGACGAGTGACGTCTAGTGTGGGACTGGTTTGGCAGATTTTGTTCAGGGCTAGGTAGAGTCAAAAACTTGCAGAGAAAATTGCAAATGTGATTGTAGACAAGGCTTTAAAAAGCAGTTAAAACCTGTGTTGAAACATGGATTTCTGTAATTTGTTTCAACATGTTGAGTTACTACAAATGAGATGGAGAAATGATCTCAACCCATTTATATATAGGTACTTTTAGCCATCTGACTGGAAACGTCAGAACTTAGCCCTGTGAGCCGTTGATCAGATAAACACGGCAGGCTTCCATAAGAATTATGCTGTACAAATACCTGAGGGCATATGGACTTTTTGAAGGAAGCATTGTCCAAACTGGGCAGACAAAAAAAGCATAAGGACAAAGTGCTAAGCTCTGGGCACAATGGCTTGGGTTGTTGGGCATCCTCTTGCGAACCAGAGGGTCACCAGTTTGATTCCCAGTTGGGGCACGTGCCTGGGTGGACAGTTCAGTCCCTTGGGGCACATATGGAAGGCAGCTAACCGACATTTTTCACATTTTCTCTCACATCGATGTTTCTTGGCCTCTCTCTCTCGCCCTCCTGTACTCTCTCTCTCAAATCCAAAATAAAATATTTAAAGAACATAATTATTAAAAAAGAAAGCGTTGATACTAAAATATAGGCTCCTGTGTAAATTAGAAGATGTTGCAATGTACCTTCAAGTTCTAAGTTAATATAGGTCACAAATCATCTGAATTAAGTACTGTTTAAAACGTAAATAGGAATTCTATTTCCATAAAAAATCTCCCATGTGGTGGAACACTGGAGTTTGAAATACACATAGGCTAGACTTAGAACTGCACAGTCGGCAGGCAACTACAAGAATTTCTACAAAAGCCAAAACATTTGTTGAGTGTTTTCCGTGTCTATGTTGTTCCAGGCACTAAGTTGGGCTCTGGAATAATAAAAATACCTGATATTTGTATCATTTTGTGGTTCATCCTAACTTTATGCAGCTATTTTACTCAATGTGGCTTCCGGGGGTCCGGATAAAATATAACCCTTGAAGAACAGGAGGGGCTGAGGGACAAAGAAGAGAACACCGACACTAAGAATTGAGGGAGAAAGGCAAGTTGGAGAGCCAGTTAGGTTGGGAGGGTTATGGAAGGAAAAGACAATACAGGTGATCCTTGAGTAACTCGGGGCTTGGGGGCACTGACTCTGCTCCATCATAAATTTGCATATAACTTTTGACTCCTTCAGAATGTAACAACTAATAGCCTACTGTTGACCAGAAGCCTCACAGATAACATAAATAGTCCATTAATAACTTTTTTGTATGCTATATGAATAAATACTGTATTCTTACAACAAAGTAACTAGAGGAAAGAAAACTACTTAACAAATCATAAGGGAAAATACATTTATAATACTGCACATATCTGTTGAAAAAAATCCACGTATAAGTGGACTCATGTGGTTCAACCCATGTTGTTCAAGGGTCAACTGTAGTCAAGAGAAAATGAATGTACAAACCAGACAATGGCCAGACCATTTGTACTACAGAGTACTGGTTTGTACTCTGACCCACAAACTCTGCAGCAATCAGCCCAGAACTCTTGACTGGTTAATAACTGCTTCCCTATTTTTTGCCGCACCCCTTCTGACCCAGGACCAATTAGAGAGAGCCAAATATGCTCCCCCAGCACAATTACATAAGATACCCTGCTTCCGGTTAGTCCGCCTGTAGCTTCCTCATGCTGTACTCTCAAATCAGAGCACACATTAAAATCTTCTCCCTCCCCCATTTTTTTTTTCATTTTGTTTTTCCACTCCCCTAACACCCTTTGAGTCTGCTGGACACAAGTGTTAGCAGCTGACTGCCTTGTTGTAGCAGGCATGGAATAAATAGCCTCTTTTTGTTCTCACTTGGCTTGTCTTCATTTAATTCCACATTTACTGGTTCACATATATTAGTGGTTTTATGTCCCAGATGGTGCCCAGCATTGATATGGAAGCAGACAGTCCCTGCTCTCAAGGATATTCTGTCATTTGGACAGACAGGCACATAAATATACTTGTAATTTAATGTGGTGAGTGAAAGGGGGTGTAGGTCAAGTAAGGCTTTTAGAAGAGGTGACGCTTAAGTGGAGTGCTAAGGAATGAGTATGAGTTGGCCTGGCTAAAAGTCAGGGAAGGATGTTCAAGGCAGTTGGAGGGGTTGGGGAGGTGGATGGACAGTGAGCAAAACCTAGGAGGGTGGAAACCAGAGGTGCGGTGCTGGAGCAGAATAATCGAGGTAAGGCACAGGCAAAATACGCTGCACTGACAGCTCATGTATAGCCATGTATGTGCCACGTTTGTAAGAACTTGGGCTTGACCCTTTCCAAATGGCTCCCTCCTGGAAATGAAACGGCTTGTATAAGCAAGAAAAACAGCATTAAGGAATCATTACGATTTTATGTATTAATGTAAGGTCCAGGTGGGAGGAACACAGCTGCTCATAATGTCTGGCACACAGTAGATATTCAATTAATGTTGAATGAATGGTTCCAAGCGCTTTGGTGTAGATGTCATTGTGCCGATTTTTTAATGTTTTTCTCACGGGAGAAGAGAGTGAGGCCAAGGCATCAATTTGGGAGGCAATAGGAAAGGTCTGAGGTGAAAGAACTGCCATTCTTCCAGGCAGAGACGAGGACAAAAAACCTCCGATAGGTTGTGGGCCAGGGATGCACTATTGACGCAGACACCCCAAGACCCACCCACTGGGGCGGCCACGAAGAATTGGCGCAGTAGAGAGGGCAGCGCGCCCCGAGGCCCACCCCGCTGCAGCCCCGGTGTCACCGCACCACTCACCTGAGTGCTCCCTGCCAGCCCCTCCCGGCGGGGTGGAGGGGGGGGGGCACAACGCCCTTCCGGATTGGGCGCACTCGAAATCTTGGGGCGGGCATTAGAAGACGAACGCTCTTGGGGATTGGCCACCCTGGTGGATGGACGTGAGACCAATGAAACTGGTTCGATGGTGGCTCTGGCTGTGTGGAGGGCGGGTGGTTCTCCTAGGGTCCCCTGTCAGTCATTGGCTACTGGTGGTTTCCTTGGGGACGTGGCGCCGCAGGCGCAGGCCTTTTTCCGGCTGAGCTACAGATTGCGGGTGTTCTTGGTGGACAGAGCCGAGAGGCGCTGGAGGGGCCACCGGGCCGCTCGACCCGTGAGAGTAAGTGCTGGAGGGCTTCGGAGCCAGGAGGGATGGAAGGGAAGGGGATACCCCAACCCCGCCACCTGGGTACTGCTGTTTCCTCGAGGATATCGCTGGCCCTCGAGAACCCCTCTCTCCCGGGAAGCCCGGTTAGGGTCCGCTGGGCCCTAGGAACGACAGCGGACGTACTAGGAATGGGCGTTCGGAGAGTGTGTGGCCTTCTCCTGGAGGTCTGATCTTGTGGGCATTGATGAAGGTGAGCCTGAAACCCAACTAACTCTTTTCAGGCGCAGGAAATGCCTGGGACAAGGAGACCACCTTCTCAGGTCAAAAGGAAAAGGAGGTGACAGGCGGGACCACTGAAGGGAACCCATGGCTAGGTAAGGCTATGCACTTTCTTTTCAGCTGGCGCTCAATGGGGGCAGGAGGCAGATTGAGGGGCCCTGAGAGATTATTACTAGAAAAGATTACCCTAGGACTGCATCTGGACTTTGCATCTGAACATACGGTTGTAAAGATCAACGTTGCATTCTTCTGAAGGCAGATGCAAAAGTTTCCAGCCCATAACCCCGGGCTCAGGTCGCAAAGGGCTAGATTGTAATGTTCTTGACGTATTTCCACTTGAGTGAGGCTGTTTGATCTCCTTGAGGAGATTAAACAAAGAATTTTTCTTTTTTGCAGTGAACTTTGAAACAGACCCAGGACCTTATGAATCAATATAGAAAGTGAACTTCACAGTTGAATACACTTATCCATACATTGTAATAATACTCTGAAGCTTTCAGAAAATATTAATGTGGTTCTGTAGATATGGGACAGTTGTCAAATAGAGTAAGTGGGGAAAGACAGAGCAATATGTGTGGTGTAAAACCAAAGGAATGGAGACACACACCCATGGATCTATTACCACATGTGACATATCTGTCATTGTGTATACAGAAAATATTCCCAGAAAAATACACAAACTGGGTAGTAATGGTTGCCTCTAAGAGGGAAATGGCTGGGTCAGGGCAAAAGATGCACTTCCCACTATATATCCTTTTAAACATGTGCATATATTACCATTAAAGTATTTTAAAAATCAGTTGAATAAACTTTCTGACCATCCAGTTTTTTGGCAGTATTCCTGATGGGGCTGTTGTCGTACTCTGATTCCTCAGTGTTAGGAAGTTGCTCAGGGAGACTGGTGATCCTTTCATTAAAATAAGATTTAATTCTTTGAATTGCACCCCACAGTACAGACTTGGAAAAAGATTTTCCAAGCTTTTCTGATTTATATAGTAGAAGTATCATGAACTATATATGTCTTTTTTTTTTAATTTAAGACTAAAAGGACATTTCAATTTCTGGTGGCGTGAATTTTTGCCTTTATTAGGAAGGGCTTTACACTAGTTTAAAAGCTGTTTTTTATACTGAAACTTTTCTTACTAATGTTCGTATAATTTCAGGATCAGTTTTTCCTACCTCTGCCCAGCCTCCTGGTACTTTACTGTGCCCACGGTGAGCCCATTTCCTCGTCAGCGGGCGGCATTCCTAGGACTCTTCTGCATATCCTGTCTCCTTTTGCTTATTTTAATCGTGGACTTTCGACATTGGGGTGCTTCGTTACCACGAGATAGGCAATATGAAAGGTGAGTCAGCCCTAGATAATTCTGATTAGCTTTTCACTGGAGTCATAAGCATTTATTAATACCTTACTACCTTTGACCCTTTTGCACTTTTATTAGTAAAATTGCATGCCACTTACTACATAAACATCTTGACAATTTTCAGTTTTGAATCAGGAATGATGATGCTGTGTTTTGTATCTTTCTTTTTTCTTCTTTTGGTGGGCTAACTTATTGGGTGTATAAATGTTTAGGATTGTTGTGTACTCTTGATGGATGGACCCTTTTTATCATGATTAAATTACTATCTTTATCCTTGATTATATTCTTTACCCTGACATCTACTGGTCTGGTATTCATATAGGAACTTGAGCTTTCTTCAGGTGAGTGTTAGCATGACAGATGGTTTTCCATCCTTCTAATTTTAGGCTGTTTTTGTCTTTACATTTAAAGCGGGCTTATTGTGGGCATCATTTAGTTGAGTCTTGCTTTTCATCCCATCTGACAATGTCTGCCTTTTATTTGGGGTGCTTAAGCCATTTATATTTAATGTGATTATCAATTATGTTTATGTTTAAATCTCTTGCTATTTCTTTTCTGCTTGTCACATCTGTTGTTTTTCTTCTAGTTTCTTTTTTTAAAAATTAAGTACGTATTTTATGATTCCATTTTTTCTCTTTTGTTGTGTTATTAGATATAACTTTGTTTTTATTTTTTTAGTGATTGTTTTAGGATTTAGCCTTTATACTACATTCAGTAATAGTCTACATTCAAGTCTACATTCAAGTAATAGCACACCTCTTCACATGCAGTGTGAGAACCCATGCCTTTGCCCTTGGCCTTTGTGCTGTTGCTGTCATACACTTTACTTCTCTGTATGTTACAAGTGCTACTATACATTGTTTTTGATTTTTGCTTTAAACGTTCAATTATCTTTTAAAGAAATTTTAAAAATAAGAAAAGAAGGGTTATATATTTCCTATGTCTGGGACTCTTCATCCCTTTGTGTAGATTCATATTTCTGTCTGGTACCATTTTTCTTTTGCCTAAAGGACTTCCTTTAATGTGTCTAATAGTGTGAGTCTGTGATTGGTGAATTCTTTCAATTTTATATTATTGAAAAAGTATTTATTTTGCTTTCCTTTTAAAAGAAATGCTCATTGGATTGATTCGTTTTCTTTTATTACTTTAAAGATGATGCTCCCACTGTCTTTCGGCTTGAATTCTTTCTGAGAAGTCTGCTGTTATTTTTATCTCTGTTCTCTCTGTGCATGTGTCCTTTTCCCCTGGCTCTTAAGATTTTCTCGTTATCATAGGTTTTAAGCAATTTGCTTTTGCTGTTCATTTGTAGAGTTTTCTTCATGATTCTTGGGCTTGTGATTTGTTGAATCTTAAATATATGGATTTATAATTCTTAATCAAATTTGGACAAATTTTGACCATTATTTCCTTAGAAACTTTTTCTGTGCTCTCCCACTTCATCTTTGACATCTCCAAGCACATGTATATTGAGCCATGTTGAAGTTTTGTTTTCTTCTAAATATTTTACTTATTTAGAGAGAGGGGAGGGTGATGTGGACCCTGGCTGGCAGGATCCATGTGTTGTGGCTGCGAGAGACAAATTTACACGGACAACAGAAATCCTGTGGAGAAAAAGGGATGGCATGGCTGTTCTCTAAGAGAGAGAGAGAGGGCCCAACCCCCACCTGGACAGGCTTTAATTGCATTTCTGGGTACATTACATTGAGGATGGCCCTCATTTACTGTGCACAGGTTTGCTGTAGGTGGTTACCTTTTAGATAGCAAAGGAAAGAATGTTGCTTATTACTTCAAAGAGAAGAATGTTACAAATCAAGGGGAAAAGTAGTTGAACTGGTTACACTCCATACTTGGGAGATTTAGTACAGACTTTAGGAAGTTAAAAGATATGCAGTAAACATTTGCTGCCTCAGTCCAGGGTGAGGGAGTTTTAGCAAAAGCAAGTCTCATAGCAGCCTAGGTACAATGCAGGCCTGATTTCCCACGGGAGAACCTATCTGTGGTTGTGGGTCCTGTGTGCCGGACCTCGCTCTCCACTCATCTTTCCAAGTGGGGGCTGGGCTACATTCCCACACCACACTAAATGGTTCCCTATAGAAGGGAGGGAGAAAGAGAGGGAAAGAAGTGCTAATGTGTGAGAGATGCATGGATCAGTTGCCTCTTGCAAGCCTCCAACTATGGGCCTGGCCCACAACCCAGGCATCTACCCTGACCTCGAATCAGACCAGTGAGCTTTTGGTTCTCAGGCCATCACTCTGTACGCTAAGCCACACCAGCCAGGGCGAGCCATGTTGAAGTTTTTTCACAGCATACCAATGCTCTATTCATTTTTTTTCAGTCTTTTTTCTGTGTTTCTTTCTTGATATTTTATTTTGTTGTGCCTTCTAGTTCATTATTTTCTTCTCTAAAGTCTAATCTGTTAGCTCTAGCCACTGAGATCTGAATAATACCTTTTTTCACAGAAAATACATCTGAGTTATTTGATATGGTTTTAATGTCTTGCCAGTTGCATAGAATATCTATATTCTTTTATAACAGTGATTCATTTTGCTACTTTTTAAGCTTAGTTTCTGATTAGGCTATAAAATTAAACTACGACATGTCATGCTCATCATCTGCAACATGAGTTTTTCTCTGTTGCTTGTCAGATGTATATCAGTTAGGAGGCCTTGGGCTGCAAGTAACAGTCAAACTGATTTAAATAATATGAAACTTTATTGGCTCACATAACTAGAAGTCTAGAGGTAGCAGAACCATAAGTTCAACACTTGGTGGCAGGATGGGAGTTTCTGTCTCGATTGCCCATAGTGTCAGATTACTTAATGGTTGCAAAATAGCAGCCAGCAGCGACAAATGCCGTGCATCCTCGTTCATGTCCTGTAGGAGAGACACAGGTCTGCCATACTCTCTTACAAGAATGAAGAAGACCCTTACCTAGAAGTAACTAGAAGAAACCTCTAGTCACTTTTTCCTTGAGTCTTTTTCGGTTAGAATTGGGGCACATGCCTACTCCCCTTAATATTTCTGGGTTGTTTTGTCTCCATAATCTTTTATTTCCTATTTACTTGGTAATTCATCTATTCATTGGACAAATATTTATTGAGTAGCCACTACGTGCCAGGTGATAATAGGCATGAGGACACGGAGACTTCGATACCTTTTCTCAAGAAGTTTATGTTTTCAACGTTTACTTCTCTAGCAGTGCCATTGTATTTTTGACTCTGCCTTTCCAGAAGAGGAAATATTTGTTTAGATGATCACAGTTGTCAATCATTGGCCTTAAGCTTATTGGCTTTGGAGAACTAAATCCATAATTTGAGTTTTCTTAATGCTTACTGGGATTTTTTTTTTTTTTTATAGACTTGAGCATAGTTTCCCACTGGAAGACAGCATGGTCTACTTACTGTATTCTATGTAGGTGGATATGGCTGTAGCGAAGACTGTTCGGTAGTTAGTAGTGAGTTGTATAACTGGAAAGGCAGATCAGGCTGAGGTCGCTAAGCCATTTTAGGGAGTTTAGACATTAAGGCTTTGAAGAAGACATGCTCTGAAATGCTTTTTAAGGAAAGCTTATTTTGGTGGCATTGTAGAGAATAGAACGGAGGGGAATAAAAATGAAGGGGAGATGGATTGGAACACTCCAATAGAGAGATGATGGGGGCCTGGACTTGGGTGGCAGCAGTCACGATGGAGAGCAGTAAACGCATTTCAGGGCTATGTGGCAGTGATCCAGTAGCTCTTGTCTGTCACTGTACCTCAGGTGGGCAGATCCAGTAAATACTTGTGAAGTTGAATTAATTGACACAAGGATTAGCTACAGCGCTAAGGAACACACAGGCTGTGCTGCTGTGGTGACCTCACCAAAGTCTCGACACTGTGTGATACTTTCACTGAGCAGCCAGCAGTCATGCAGCCTAAACCTTCATATTCTTTTTTTAAAAGAGTTTATTTATTTATTTTTAAGAGAGGGAAAAGAAGGAGAAAGAGAGAGAAACAGCAATATGTGGTTGCCTCTCCCATGCCCCTCACTGGGGACCTGACCCACCACCCAGGTATGTGTCCTGACTGGAATCGAACTGGCACCGGTTTGGTTCATAGACTGGTACTCAATCCACTGAGCTACACCAGCCAGGGCTCTTTTTTTTTTTTCTTGCTTATTCTATTATGGTTGCCCCAGTTCCCGCCTCATCCCAGCCCACCCCCACTCCACAGCCGATCCCCACACAGTTGCCCACGTCCGTGGGTCATTCATACGTGTTCTTGGCACCAGTCCCCTCTCCCCACTCTCCGCTGGCAGCGCCAGTCTGTTCCCTGTTTCCCTGCCTGTGGTTCTGTTTCGCCCATTAGTTTATTTTGGTCATTAGATTCCTCTTGTAAGTGCGATCATATGGTATTTGTTTTTCACTGACTGGCTTATTTCATTAGCATAATGCTCTCTAGATTCTTCCATGTTGTCCCAAAAGGTGGGAATTCCTTCTCTCTTTCTGCTGGGTAGTATTCCATTGTGTAAATGTACCAGAGTTTTTAACCCATTTATCTATTGATGGGCACTTAGGCTGTTTCTAGCATTTGGCTATTGTAAATAGCGCTGCTGTGAACATAGAGATGCATAAATTCTTTTGAATTAGTGTTTTGGGGTTCTTAAGGTATTCTTAGCAGTGGAATTAATGGGTCAAAAGGCTGTTCCTCTTTTAATTTTTTGAGATTCCATACTGTTTTCCACTTGGCTACACCAATCTTTATTCCCACCAACACTGCACTTGGGTTCCCTTCTCTCCACATCCTCAGCAGCACTTATTGTTTATTGATTTATTAAAGATATTCATTCTGAGAAGTATGAGGTGATATCTCATTGTGGTTTTAATTTGCATCTCTCTGATGGCTAGTGATGTTGCGCATTCTTTCATATGTCTCTGGGCCCTCTATATGTCCTTGGAGAAGTGTCTGTTCAGGTCCTTTGCCCATTTTTTTAATTGGGTTGTTTA